GGGCCAGCACGTTGCTCCTGGGACCCAGGGCCAGCATAGCATGCGACATTGGGAATTGAATCCAGGTCCTTGTGCTTGTCAGGCAAGCACTTACACCACTGAGCTATCTCCCCAGCCTCCTGGTCTTTTCTTTTTCCTTTTTCAATATTGGAAAATTTTTGGCCAGAGAGTGAGTCTGTGGTAGAGTCCTTGGCTGGCGTGCCAGAGGCCCTGGGTGTAACCCTAGCTCTGTGAGGACAAAAATAAAACAACTATTACACTTTGAAAAATATAGCAAATATAATAATATACCCAAGGTTTGTGGCAACTCCTTTCCAATTCGCGCTTTTAAAGGGGATGTTCTGAAACTCTTTTTTTTTTTTTTTTTTGCAGAACCAGGGTTTGAACTCAGTCCTTTGTGCTTGCCAGGGAAGCGCTTATTCCACTGAGCCATCTCCCCAGCCCCACATTCTGAAACTCTTGCAGCTCTGTCTTCCTTTATCATTTAGTGGTTTCACTGAGGGACACAGTGGTGGCTGTTCCTTAGTTCACCCCACTGAGGCATCCTGTGGCATGCTGAAGGACTGGTGTTTCCAGGTTTATGGAAGTCAGGGTTAAGTTCTAGATGCACTTCGACATGTTTGCTTGTGTTTTCTCCCTGGGCAAAGAGGGCAAAGCCGCCCAAGCTTAACGCTGGAGGCTCTTGGGGCCGGGGAGATAGTTCAGTAGAATAAGTGCATGCCTGGCAAGCGCAAGGGCCTGATTTAAATCCCCAGTTCCGGAAAAAAAAAAAAAAAAGCTTGAGGTTCTGATGCCAGTTTTCTAGAAAGGGCCAGGGCCGAACCTGCAGAGCACTGAGTGTTTGCAGTGGCCTATTGTATGTAGTTTCGTTTTAGACCCTCACCCTTTCTCCATGCCCAAGGGTTTTCCGTCCTCCTGGCTGGCATTAGCAACTTGCCCTGAGCCTTGGATTGCAAGTTGCTTTTCAGGTTGCTGGATCCCTCGGACTCACCCCTCGGGAACAGAATCAGGGTCCTTTATAGTCTTGAAGCCCGGACAGTTCCTCATGTCCTGTGGCGTCTGGGTGGGACTGGCCCAGGGAGGTGTTCTTCCTGCACCAAGCAGAGAGGTGAGGGCAGGAAAGGAAGTTTCCTCAACCAAGGCCACAGAAGCTGGACCTGTGCCCAGGACTTGTGATCATTCTGTGACACAGATCACATGGGGGTTGGGGAGTGATGATGGTGCTTGAGGGTCCTGATTTAGAGAATCTTGTTCTTCTCACTTGGTGACCGTATTAAACACCAGGATTGGTACCCACTCCCCACATCCTCACCACAGCCCAGATTAAAAAAGTTGCCTGAAAGGAGCCCTGAAAGCTGCATGTGTCCTGACAGTAGAGCGTAACACTTCCACATGAGGACAAGGGCCCTCATATTCCAGGGCCTTGGCTGCCCTGAGTGACCTCAAGGTCTGACCCCAGTACCCCTCTCTCCTCCTGCTCAGCTACTGGAAGGAGCACCACTTCAAAGCTGTTGCTCTGGTGGAGAAGGCCCTGCAGTCCGCCTATGGCACCAGCGTCCCCAGCATGACCTCGGCCACCCTGCGCTGGATGTACCACCACTCCCAGCTGCAGGTAACCCAGCTGGCCCTGGGGATTCCCATCTGCTTTAAATTTGGGGTGCGAGATAGTAGACTAATAAAAAATGAAAGAGGGTCACCGACTTATTTATTTCCGATGTTACTTCTTTTCTTCCTCTGAAATGTCTATGTGACCCCGCTGCTTTTGGTGACAGTTGCATTCTTAGAGAAGTTACTGAAGTGCTAGGTTACAAATTCACTTTCTTATGATGCCTCTGCTTAGGATGGTCATCCCATTGTACCGGGGGTGGGTTGGGGTGGGAGAATGGGCGAGAGAGCCTACTTTGCTTGTCTAGGGTCCCACAGCTGCCTGTGGAAAGAAATGACCATAGATTTGATTCTGAAATCTGCATTGTTTTAACATGGAGTTGGAGCCCAACCCTGTGTGTGGAGGTGACGCTTTGCTCTTTGCCCCCACCTTCCGTTTCCCTGGTCCCTCTCTCTGGCACAAGCCTCTAGGGTAATGGCTTCCTATGGTGAATTTCTGTGACATGCCAGTCCTGCTACAGAGTACTTGCCCACATCTGTAATTTCCACCACCACCCTGCAAGTTAAGCCAGCCGGAAGTTGAAAGACCGGTAACCAAAGGCAGCTTTCCCCAGCTGTGGAGGCCTCTGCCACAAGTGGGGGCACAGCTGTGAGAGGCAAACGCTGGGACTATTTGAGGCATTAGAGCTTGGTGGAACATTGCCTGGCTTCAGGCAATGACAGTCCCCAGTCTTAGCCTGGGTGTGGCAGGGAGGGGTGTGTGACTGGGACTGCTATGTGTCATCGGGGTGCTCAAGTGTGGTCTGTTGACTTGCAGGGTGCCCATGGGGACGCGGTCATCCTGGGCATGTCCAGCCTGGAGCAGCTGCAGCAGAACCTGGCCGCTGTGGAGGAAGGACCCCTGGAGCCGGCTGTGGTGGAGGCCTTTGAGCAAGGCTGGCACCTGGTTGCCCACGAGTGTCCCAATTACTTCCGCTAGACCTGGTGTGACTCCAGGTGCCACAGGCGCCCCCTCTTTCCCTCATGGATTCTCTCACCCTGGCCACTTTGCCTTAAGCTGCCTCAGCGTGCTGTCTCCCCATGGCCTCAATCATGCAGCCTTTTCTAGATTCCTGCCCTGCTCCCTGCCGCCCTGACACCATGGACACCCTGGGGCTGAGCCCTCCAGGAGCCTCTTGGTCTCAATAAAGCAGTCCTCGCCCAGCTGCTGCCCTGGCCTGGAGAAACACCGGCTCTCTTGTCTCCTGTCACTGCCTCTTGCCACCCTGCTGGGGTAGGGGGGGGGGTCTCTGAGAAAGGGTGGAGCCGTGAGCTGGGGTCTCCAGGGGGCAGAGGTTGTGGGCCAGGCTCAGGGGTGCCCTGGCCTTGCAAAGGTCTCCTGGGTCCTTGTCCTGAGCCCCGCCTGACCTCTCTGTGTCCTACTCGGAGGGGGAGGGTGGGCCAGGCATTGGAGTCACTTTCCTCTCATTAAGGATTATAGTGCCAAATACTCAGAATTGGAACAATTATGGGCACAAATTACCATTTGCATCACTGATAAGATGAAGAATGATACTTCTCAGAATGCTGTGGATTTACTTTACTTTTGAGAAAAGATCCTGCTGTGTTCCCCAGTCTGGCTTCAAACTCCTGGGTCAAATGATCCTTCTGCCTCAGCCTCCAAAGTAGCTGGGACTGTAGGTAGCAGGCAACAGGCTCAGCTTTGGAGACATTTTTAGAAGAGAGTCTCAATCTCAGCACTTGCTTTACTCTTATCTTAGTTAGGTATGACTTCCTGTGTGGTCATTCTTAAAATTGTTAGCCCTGAATCTGGGAGTACGGATAGCCAGGGCCTCCGTTTCCCTCAACAAATTGTTCTTCCAAACAGAGGCCAGTCCAGGCTGAGAAGATAGATGCCATGCCTGGGGGTTGCTGTTCAGCTTTTTCCAGGGCAGCAAAGCTGTCAAGCTTGTGTGTGGTGAACGGGGGAGTGCAGGGCAGAGGTAGCTGTGGGCAGTTAGGCGTTGCAGCAGCATTTCAAAATAACGGAAGGGGCTCTGCTTAGATTCTAGACAAACCACTATTCCCAAAGACTGTTCTGGGGCCAGGGAGATGGCTCAGCAGAATAAGCACTTGCCTGGCAAGTGCAAAGGCCTGAGTTTAATCCCTGGTTCCAGGAGGAAAAAAAACACATACACCAAAAGACTGTTCTATGAGAAATCTCATTTGTGGTCTAGAGGAAGACCCCATATACATAGTTTTATTCTGTTTTGTGAGGTTCCCCCCTCCCAATGGGGCGGGTTCATATTTGTTCATTGTATGTACTTTATTAGAGCAATTAAAAAAAGCAAGATCTAGGTTTATTGAGTACAACTCCTATAGCACAGACAGGCATATGGTAATCCAGAATAACACTGCAGTTAGGAAGAAGCGCTCTGGAGCCACTCTGACCGGTTTCGTCTTTTGGCGCCGCAGCTTACTAGCTGGCTGGCCTTGAATGTGCTGTGGGACCCACCCTCAGCTCCCCCAGCTTCTCATGCTACACAACCTCAAGGCAGGGCTCAGCATGGACTCTGGTTACCTTCACAGAATAATGGAGATAATTTGCAGGGTCTCACTCTCAGGCTTGTGGAAGAGATCTACTGAGCAACAGTAGTTAAGTACTTATCAACAGTACTTAGAATTCACATTTAAGTTTCATAAAACATTATGTGTTACGTATTGGCCGTTATTCTACTATGTACTATATTGTTGGGTTTTTATTTTATTTTATTTTATTTTATTTTAGGGAAGGGTCTACAGGGTGTCAGGGTCTCACTACTAGATTGGACTCATAGTGATCCACCTGTTCACAGCTTCCCAAGTGCTGGGATTGCAGGCGCGCACCGCCAGGCCCAGTCTCAGTTGCCCTCTCAGTGTGCCCTGGGGGTGGGGCTGGCCTGGCAGGCCCGAGGATCGAACCCTTGGCCTCTGCACCTGCTTGCAGGTGCTTTAATCTGCTGAGCTATTTGGCCAGCCATTTATTTACTGTAGTATTCTACAAGCCACACAAGCACCTAGAAAGTTTATTGTAATACTGTATAACCAGCACAAACACCAATAAAGTCTCACACAAACAGAAATAAAGTCTTTTTTTTTCTTTCTTTCTTTCTTTCTTTTTTTT